TGGCCCTTCCTCATCTCTCAGGACTCTGCTCTCTGAGGGAAGGGACCCCAACTCAAGTGGCCCCTCGACCCCCCAGGCCCCCCCCTTTAATAGTCTCTGTGACCCCTGCCCTGTGTGTGAATAAGCCTGGGACACCACCAAGTCGTGAGCTCATGGCTCAGTGCCAGCACACAGTAGGTGCTGTCCAGGCACCCTATCTGCAGTTGTGTGCTCTGACCGTCTTAAGAAATTACCAGAGACTTGGAGGCTTTAAACAGCACAGGTTTATGCCTCCCAGCTCCCGGGAGGTCGGAAGTCCACCACCCTCTCGCTGGGCTGACATCGGGGTGGCCACAGGGCCGGACCCTCCAGGAGGCCTCGGAGGGCCCAGCCTCTGGAGGCACCGCCTCCCTGGGACAGCGGGCCCCCTCTCCCTCTGCCCGGTGTGCAGCGCAGCCTCTCCCCGCCTCAGCCAACTCTGCCTCTGTTGTCATGCCCCCTTCTTCTCCGAGGCTGACCCCCGCCTCCCAGACAGAGGGCTCTGGTGATGATGACACTGCCCCCGCCCCAGAGCCTCCCTTCACCCCACCTGCAAAGTCCCTTTAGCCACGGACAGCCACACGTCCACAGGACCTGGGGTTCGGATGGGGCCATCTTTGGGGGGCTGTTGTTCAGCCCGCCCCACTATCCTCATCTGCGAGTACTCCTATTCCTATAATTCCCACCTGAAGGTGCAAGAGCCGAGGCTCAGAGAGCCAAGGTCAGGGGCCCAGGCTCCCCCGAGAGTAGGTGGCAAGCACCAGTGTGGACTCAGGGCTTTCTGACCGCATCGGCCACATGCATCCGAGCGAGACGTCGGTAGGAGGGTCTGGGGACACAGGAGAAGCCAGGCTGGGAGTGGGGGGATTCAGCAGGCGGCAAAGAAGGTGGACAAGGGGCTGGCCAGGGCTGAAGGCCAGTGTGTCCACCTCACCCTGGGGGCTTCCCTGGACACTTCAGCCAACCTGGTAAGCGCCTGGGGATCCCAGGGGGTTTCCTGGGATTTGGAGTGGGGAGGGGTGAGCTTGGAAAGGACAGGCTACTGTGTCTCAAGGCCATTTCCTCGGAAAGGTGGGGCCAGCATGTCCAGGAAACCCTGGCTGGCCTTCAAGACCACCACTGACCTGCTGATTCAGCCGCAGAAAGTGTGGTCATGTGGTCACTCGGGGATGTCGGGGACGCCCACTGGGAAAAGGCAGAGGGCAGCTGGAAGGGGCTTCTCCTGCCCCCACCTCCTGCATCCCAGAGAAAGCCCCCTCTGTCTCGAACGCAGACCCTCCTTCCCCCACCACCTCACTTTCAGGCTGCAAGTTTTGGGGGGAATCTCTTTGCTAGAAAGTTCCACCCCCTACCTCCCCATGTGGGCACAGAAACTTCTGTCCCTCCTCCTCTCCTCCTCCCGCCCCTGCCAGACCCTGAGCCCCAGGGAGGCAGCAACCAGGACCCGAGCCCCCAACATTTCACTCGGACAGTCTTCAAGCACGCGGCAATGTTGAGCAAGAAATAGAAGGCCCGTGCTCAGATTCTGCAGTCGATGTCGTCTTTACCTGCCCGACTCTGACTCTGTGCATTCACCCTCCATCCGTCTTCTTTTCCCTGCATTTCCAGCTCAGCTGCCCCGAAATCCTGCAGCCTCCAGAACATGACTGCAGTGCAGAGTTTGTCTGCCTCTCTCCTTACTGTTTTTTCCCCTTGAGTGAACCGACATGGAATGAAATGCACGAATTCCCAAAAGGGTTTTCTTTCAGCTTTGAGGAATGCATTCGCCTTGTAATTCAAATGCCTTTCAAGATCACAGAACATTTCCATCGCTCCAGAACGTTCTTTCGTGGCCCTTCCTGGGAAATCCCTGCCTCTGCTCGCAGGCGGGCCTTGGCCCATGTGTTTTCCCACCTAGAAGGGTTCTGCCTGTTCCAGGACTCCCTGTCAGTGGGCTCCTGGGGTCTGTAGTGCTTTGTGAATGGCCGTTTCCACCCAGCCCCAGGATTTCCCGAACCCTCCGTGTCCAGACCCTAAGCTCCTGTCCTCCATGGCACGCCAGTGCCCGAAGCCTGGAGAGCTCACCAGGGCTGGAGCACTGCTGCTGGAGGAGGAAACGACTGTGAACCAAGGAGTGAAACTGCTCCGTGCCCCAGGGGGCCTGGTCTCACTCCGTCCCTCTGGCTTCTCTCGCCAACCCCGCCTTGGTCTGGGATCAGGGGCTGTAGTCCGAATAGCAGAGACACCCCAACTCCTGCCCCCAAGTCCCCGGGCTCTCACAAATAACACAAGGAGTCAGGCAGATGCTGCCCGCAGCTTCCTGCCTTCCCCACTATGGGCTTCGCTTGCAGCTTGGCTTCCTCCTCTCCTGCTCTTCTGCGGAGAAGGGCCCCCACCTGGCTCTAGCCCAGCTGAGATCCGCCCTGGGTCCAAACGGGCCTCCGGAGCAGTCAGCACCCCCAGACACGGCTGGGGGCGCAGAGTGGGGTGCCCGCTTTGCAAACTGGTTTGGCAGTTTCTTGTGAGAGGAAAACCCTCACCTGCTGTCTGACCCACTGCCAGGTATTTGCCCCAAAGAAGTGAAAACTTAAAGCCATAAAACATCTGTACAAGGTTTGTTGGTGGGGGTGGGGGTTGCCGGAGCAGCAGGGCCGGCCGGCTGGTAAAGCATGGGGGGCCGACTTCCCAGGGCAGCTGGTGATGGTGTCCTGACTGCCTACCGATGCCCCTCGGCCCTGCAGACGCTGACTGACACAGGGCCCCCTACCTGAGGAGTCACAGGCCCCAGTGAGGCCCCTGGGCCACCTCCCAGGTCGGGGCCACCTGCTTCCACTGGTACTGCCCACATGGTTGGCCTGTGGTGGCCCACCGCCCTGGAGCCTGAGCGCAGGCCAGTTCCGGCCCCGGGTGCAGCCCCCTCCGGTCCCCGACGGGCTGGGAACAAAGCTGTGAGCCACAGGCCATGGGGTGACGTCCCACTGGGCCAGAAGGCAGAGTTGCCTGGACTGTCGGGCAACTTTCTGCTTGACCTGCTGGAGCCAAGTGGGGGCCAGCCCAGACCTTCCATGGGAGGGGCCCAGGACGATGAAGGCGAAGGGCCTGCAGGGTGACCCTGGCCTCCCAGACACCTCTACCCAAACGTGCCAAACGTAGAGGCGCAGAGGGCCAGCCGTTGAGGTGAGGGGCCAGTGGCCCGCGACCTCCCAGGAGGGCAAGACTCGTGCCACACCGTCTCCCTGGATGCCCCTGGGCAGGAGGTCTTCGAGACCCTGCCTCCCTCCTCACCCACACAAGCCGCTGCTGTGCCGCTGGCCCAGGCTCAGGAAGGTCAGCAGGCCCAGGGCCCCGCGTCTCGTGCCCTGAGAGCATGGCCAGAGCGCCTGCTGAGGAAGCACCTACCCGTCCGCTCAGACGACAGCCTCCTCTGGGCCAGCTGGAGGGCTTCTCCGTCTGACCCGACCTGACCTGCAAGACACGGGAGGTCTGGCTGTGCTGAACCAGGTCCCGGCTGGTCACGCGCACCTACAAGGCCTGCTGTGAGAAGCGGGAGCTGATGGACAGGGAGATGCGGCTGGACAAGGATCAGGAAGGCCTCCTGCACCTGGTGGGTGGTGCCCACGACAAAAACAGGGAGAGGGGCAGGAACCCACCACTGACTGTGTTCCGGAGGAGGGTGCCACGTGGGGGGACGGTCCCCAGTGGGGCGAGCACGGGAATGTGTCCCACCTCCCCACAGTGTGTGATCCCAGCCGTGTAGGCTTGCGATCCCGAGGGCTTGGTACCTGCTTCCTCGGTGCTGCCCAGAGACACAAGGGCAGGTGTCAGGATCCCGGCGGGCAGCTTGCTGAGGGGTAGGCACACGGGAATGTCTCGGTGCTCCCACAACCGGCCCAGCCTCATAGGGACTCAAGTAACTGAAATAATGTTACTCTGGGGACTGGCTTATTTCCTTATTTCCCAAGTGCTAGGAGTGTCTCTGATCTCCATGGGGACCCCTCGGCTCATACCGGAGTTGATACCAAGGACGTGGCTCAGGGTGGGGACTGACCACACCAGAAAGGCCTACCGGGGCTGGGCGGACATTCACCCAGCCAACCCCCAGGGAGGGGAGTGGGGCTGGAGAAGCAGTGCAGGCACCGAGCAAAGATTCGCCTGTCACGCCTTCATCATGAAACCCCTAGAAAAGCTCCACACACCAGCGCTCACAGGAGCATCCTGGCCGGGAGCACGTGGAAGGGCCGTGGGGAGAGAACATGGGAGCTCCGTGGGAGCCCCGCCCCGCCCCGCCCAGCCCTCACCCTGTGGGTCTCCTCGTTGGCCAGCCCGAATCTGCGTCCTTCACCATACAATTGTACGTGGAGGGCTTTCCTGAGTGCCGAGTCATTCTGACAACTTAGGGAGCCAGAGGGGGTTGTGAGAGCCTCTGCATTTGTTGGGGTTGGTCTGAATCTCCTGGTCAGAAGTGGGGGTGGCTTGGAGACTCCTGAACTCGCAGCTGAGGGGCGTCTGCACGAACTGGGGCACTACAGGAAAGCATCCCGGATTACCCACATGGGCCTTAAGGTGCAACTGCAGGTGTCCCTGCAAGAGGGCAGCAGAGGAAAGGGGCCCAGAGGAGAAGGCTGTGTGACCATGGTGGCGAGATGCTGCCCTCCCGGCTATGCGCTGGAAGGGGCCGTGGCCCAGGAAACACACGGGGTGCTGCTGAGGAAGCTGCAGGATGAGGACGCGGCCCCCCCCCCACCCCCCCCCCACCCCCCCCCCACACACATACACACCCGGAGTGGCCCAAGGGAGCCTGGTCCTGGGACACTGTGTTTCGGCTCAGCAAAACTAACCTTGAGCTTCTGTACTGCACAGAATGCCTGCTTTTTTCTTTAACCCCTACCCAAGGATATGTTTATTGATGGTTAGAGAGACAGGGAAACATTGGCGTGAGAGAGAAACATCGGCCGGCCAGTTGCCTCCAGTACACGCCCCGACTGGGGAACAAACCTACAACCCAGGTAGGTGTCCTGACCGGGGGGTCGAACCCAGGACTTTGAGAAATACGGGATGACGCTCCAACCAACTGAGACCCCTGACCAGGCCCTAAGCCACAGGACGTGTGCTGTCCTAAGCCATCCAGCGGTGCTCATGTTACAGCGACCCTAATGGACCCGTGCACTCCTGCAAGCTGACCCTCTGGGAAGCTGCCAGTCTGGCTGACAGTTCACTGGGTGTGCTCTGTGTCCAGGGGTCAGACAGCTCCCGGGCCGGGCCAGGGCCTTGCTCTGAGCCACACGTGGAAAGGGCACAGAGAAGGGCGGGAGGGCTGGCTGCTGACAGCACTGAGCGGCGTCACCTGTGCAAGGTGTGTCGGCGGTGTCCTTTCTTCCTCCTGCTCAGTCAGTGCTCTCGGGCCTGGGCACCCCAGGGGCCACCAGCAGCTTTGGTTTTGCACTCAGTTCTCACCCCTTAGTTAGACCTGACTCCCCTGGAAATTTCAGGACAGCCCCCAGGGCCCAGGACAGGGGCAGGAAACCTGGGGAGAAGGGTGAATTCAGATCAAAACCCCCAGTGGATAAAGCCAGGCTTTGTGGCCCCTGTACCTGCCTGTGGGGCTCCGCCCCACTTCCTGCCTTCCGCCACCCTCCACGTGCTGAAATCCCATTGGTCCTCGAAAGCTCATCTTCTCTGGACGTATTTCCCCATTGTCCCACCCAGGGGTCACAGAACCTAAGTGCCTGAGACACAAGGCCCCTGCTGCTCAGATCCCAGCAGCCCCTCTCACACCAGCCTCAGGGCCTTGTCTCAGGCCGCCTGATGTTGCCACAAGGCAGTGACAGTGTCTTCCAGAGAAGGGGCCACCCCCTTTGGTATCTCAGCACAATCTCTCTCCCCGAGGACACAGTTGGCTCCCTCAGGCCCGTCCTGCATCACTCACTCCTGGATTCCTCCACTGAGTCTCTCACGGGTCACAGCAGTCCTGTGCCAAGCTGGACCAGAGTGCGACAGTCAGGCGCAGGTGGGAGCCAGGACTGGGCCTGCCTCACTCGTGTGTCCCCAGTGTCTGCACAGCCCTCCTGGCCCAGAGCAGGCCAGTCACTCGGGTTCAGGGCATCATAGAACCATGAGGACACTCAGAGAGGTCGGGGTCACTCGCAGGGATCATGTCATGGTCTTTGGGATAAAGCTCAGAAGGTTCCCACAGCTGGGAGCCAAGGTTCATATCTCAAACGTGTCCCCATGCTCCCTAGGGCTTCGAGGACAGACACAAAACCCCTCTCCTTGAGGCCTCCCAGCCAGGGAAGAAGGCAGGAAGACCAAACAGCTCCATCTCTGAGCCATCTGACCTCGGCTGGGGAGGGACGTGGGGCCAGATCAAAGGGCCCAGGAGCCAGGGTTTTGGAAGAGGTGGAGGTTACGCTAGGTCCGAGGGGAAGAGGTTGGAGCGGAGGTCCCAGATCGCAGACACTGGACCCGGCTGAGTGGGGCTGTTTCTCCTCAATAGCGGTGGGCGGGAGAAGAAAAGACACACACACCAGACGGTGGTGGGAAGAACCAGGAGGGCCAGCAGCTGAGGGACGACACGGGCAGCTGGTGGCCTGGCTCAGGCGGCAGGTGGTCTGGCTCAGGGGATTGGGTGGGCTCAGCAGCTGAGCCTCTTCTCGCAGATCCAGCTGTCCTTCTCACTGTCGCAAGGAGCGTCGTTCCATAGCCCGGTACGCTGCATCATGACGCAGTCCTCGCGCCCCAGGGAGTCATTGGGCTCACCCCGGTTCCAGTGGCTGCAGAGGTTTGGTTGGGGTGTGGTTGGGGGTTTGGCTGAGGATGACCCTAGGTCCAGCCCATTTGTTGGGTGGGGCTAGTCTAGACACCCTGAGGGTCTAACCTAAGCAAGGCCCTGGGATATAACTTTATAAAGCCCAGAATCTGTGCCTCAGCCAGTTCCTGGTGGCTAGCTTGGCCATCCCTAAGGAGTGCTTGAGATCTGTCCAATGCACTTGTCCCCAGGGGGCTGACCTGTCTCCTTCCCCTCTTCCCTTTCCTTACCTGAAGCTGAGCGAGACTCCGTCTATCCACTGATAGCTCTGGACCTTGCTCGCGTGGCGCACGGCCCTGAGGCCCAGCCAGTAACCGCGGCCTCTTGTATTCCGACTCAGGAAGCCCTGGATGGAAGGAGAGATTAGTTGGCTTGTCAGTGGCTGCCGCCCACAGACACCTCCCAGCCACGACCCCCTGCGGTGAACTCCCCATCCCACCTCCGACCACACTGCACTGGCCACCCACCTGCTCCTCCAGGTTCCTGACAATCACCAGGTGCGCACCCGCGCCCGCACAATTGAGCTGCGCCTCTTCCCATCTGGCCCGCACCACCGAGAAAAAGTAGCAGGAACCCTGGAAGGGCAGCCACGACGTGGGGGCACTGCTCACAGGAACCTGTGGGGTGGCAAAGGTCCATGAAGCTGACTGCTCCCAGGTGCAGCACTCAGAGGGAGTTGAGGGTCGCAGGGGCAGAGCCATGGAAAGGGCGGATTCCGGCGGATCAGGGACCCACCGGGCCCGCGGGCAGGTCCACTAACCCCCTTGTGCACGCCCACGCCCCTTCCTGCTCACTGTTTCCAGCTCGGACGGCCTCCAACTCCCGGAACAGCTCGCTGCGGATGTTCTCGCGGTCTCTCCCGGCTTCAGCCAAGCTCTGGGTCACTGCGAGGTCACGGGAGTCCAGATTGTATGTGGGTAGGGTCGGGGTCAGGAGAAGGGTTGAGATGAGGGGAGGGGCAGCATCACCGGAACCTCGGGGTCGAGGACCGTTATAGCGAGGAGGGTCCCCGTGGGGTGGGGTTCAGAGGTGTAGTCCACGGGCAGCGTCTAGGACTCAGGGTCAGGATGGGGGACAGGATCGGGGTTAGAGGTCAGGATCACAAGGATCAGCATGTAAATCACGGGTCGGGGCACTGGTATGGTGAGGGATCCGGTGTGCGTCCCAAGACTGGGGTCCCTCACCGCGCTCGCTCAGTTCTTTCAGGGCGCTCTGCTGCTGGATCAGCTTCACCTGCGCCTCCGCAAGCTCTGCGCGCGCGGTCTTCAGCTGCGCCTGCGTGTCCAGGCCTAGGAGCGGCGGGGGGGGCGGGGGGGGTGGGGGTGTGGGGGGATGGGGGGGGTGGGGGCGGGACGTCTGAGATCTCCTACCCTTGAGTCCACAGGACCCGCCCCCAGCCCACAGGACCCGCCCAAACCCGCAGGACCCGCCTCTCAGCCCATAAGTCTCACAGCAGCTATTGCAGGCTCGGAACTCTTCCTTCAAGTGGCCCAGCACCACCGTGTGCTCCGAGGCTGGAAAGACCCCCGCCCAACGCAGACACGCCAAGTCACCCATGGGGACTCGTGAGATACCCTTCACCACTCCGGGGCCAGCTCTGGGGAGCCTGGGGTATCCGCCCACCTACTCACAAACCCGGGAGCCGGTGGTCTGCACGCACCGTTTGCTCTCAGCAGGTCCTGGCGCCGGAGCAACTCCCCCTGCTGCGTGGAGGCTGTGGAGAGAGGCTCCTGCAGGCGCGGCCCAGGGACGAGGGAACTCTCCCCTCGCCCGAGGGGTGTGGGGACCACAGTCTTGGGACGCACACAGGGGGCGGGCAGGGGTACAGCGCACACGATGCACCCTCGAGCCGAGCAGAGACAAGCACACGGGGCTGTGCACACTCATTGTTGCATACACATGCGCACAAGTGTGGGTGCACACAGCTCCAAGAGGCACACGAACCGTTCGTTCTCAAGCATTCACCCTCAGCCCCAGGCTGGGATCTGGGACCTAGCCGGGGCGCCCTGGGGCAGAGGGAAGAACTAAGCAGGGAGTTGGGCTGGGGGAGGGCTGGGACACAATCTCCCCCTCCTACATGGTCACTCACCCTTGGAAAGTAGGATGCTCAGGATGAAGGCCCACAGGACTGCAGTGACCACGAGAGCCAGGGCCAGGAAGAGGAACCGCCGTCCCCAGCGTCCATAGGGCCCTTGGGCAACAAGAGACTCCTGGGTCCCTCAGTCCCAGGACAGTCCTGGCTCTCTGGGCCCCGAGGACCATGCCCTGGACACTCGGGTCCCAGAACACCAGGGTTCCGAGAGGTTAAGTGACCTTCCTAATGGCCACAGCCCTTCGGTGATGGAGCGGAAATTTGAATCTACATCCCGTTGCCTCTAGAGCCTGTGGGGTCTCTCCTGCACCCACGACTTGCTCCCTCTCTAGGCTGTTCTCCTCCCTCTCCCATCAAATCCCAATTAAGAGGGACCCCAGGGGCCCAGTGAAGCAGTCCCACTGCTTGCTCATACCTGCGGGGGACCTCGTCCAGCCCGCCACCCCACTTGCTGTACCCAGCAGTGTCCATGGTGAGCAGGCTCCCAGCCCTGGACACTGATGTAAATGTAGCCCCCCTCCTCCCCCCAACGCACCCCCCTCCCCCGTTTCCTTCCTTATCATCTCCTGCGTGTCAATTCCTGGTAACAAGGACCCACTGACCAATCACAGGGCTGGCCGGCCCTTTGTGGGCTGAGCTGGCATTAAGGGTGAGGTGGGGCAGGGGAAGTGGAAGAATGCTGAGTGAAGGGGGTGGGAGACTGCTGTGTGTGGGGGGGTCTGTGCTGCAGAGGGTGGATGTCCATAGGAAGCAGAGCGCGGGCGTGCTTCTGAGTGTGTGTGTGCAGGTGTGCTTGCTCACTATCAACCTCCCCGGGCTGGTAGCTGCAGCAACATCTGCAGGCTGGTGTAGGGGGCTTTGCTTTAGAGCTCGGTCTCCACCTCTTACAGGTCAGAGACTGGGCTCCCTCCTTACAGGGGCAGCCTGAACCTGTCCAAGCTCCAGCCCCTCCTGGGGGGGGGGGCCTGAGAAAGCCCCCTCAGGCCTGGACCCCCCGGGCTAGCTCAGCTTCCCTCCACCATTCTCCCACAGTTGCGTGCCAAAGGCTGACTCTTAACCCAGCCCTCCGCCAGAAGGGAGAACACAGACGGTCAGCTGGGCTACTGGACTTCAGTCTTGGGCAGAGGGGTGCAGGGTGTATGTATGTAGCTTCCAGCAGCCTCGGTTTTGTCCTCTGTGCAGAGGGGCACAGTGACGGGGACTGTCTCCAAGGGATGCTGTGACAAGGGAATGAGGTCATGCATCTCAAGCGCTGGCACCGTCCCCAGGCACAAAACCCACTGCACACTCATTCATCCTTTCAACAAATACTGAACACGCCCCCAGGTGCCAGGCTTCGATCTCGGAACTGGGCATCGTCCGTGGTGGCGCACAGTCTGGTCGCACCTTACCGGGAAGTGAACTGCAGGCCGGGGACCCGAGCAGGCAACTGCACAGCGTGGATCAGAACTCACCACAGGGGATGTGCTGACGGGAGGACTGGCCCGGGTGGAACAGCGGGCCCTGCAGTCTCTGCGGGTGATGCCCACTACCAGACCCTGCCACTGTGCTTGTCTACCGCGTCCCGGAGGTAGCAGGCACAGCAAGGCGTGGGGATGAAGAGGGCAGCACATGCCAAGGGCCGCACGTCCCTGGTGGCCTTGTGAAGGACACTTCCTTCAATGGACACTACCACCAGTTTGATGTTTATCTCGCTGGTCACGCTGCTCTGACCATTAATGACAGAAATATTTATGGCCACCTGTCAAGGAGCGCATCATCACTGACCAGAAGGCTTCAAGTGCTTGCTAAGGTCACTGAGGGTGGTCACGGCACAAACCTAGAACTCAGGTGAAATGCGGACCCAGAGCTGGAGCTGGGTCTGGGCACGTCTGCGTGTATGAGCCAGCACCCATCAAGGCCCAAAGGACCCAATCCCCTCCTGGCAGCAAGCTCTCTAGGAGGGGGAGGGAGGAGACAGTAAATAATGAGCTTAATGAAACAGGAAGTTGTCTAGAGGGTGGTTCTCACCTGAGGGCCATTCTGCCCCCCACCCAGGGGTCCATTGGGCCAAGCGTGGGAGACTTCTGTGGTCGCCACAAGTCCGGGGCTGGGGGTGACACTGGCATCTAGTGGGAGGAGACCAAGGATGCTGCTCAATACCAGACTCAGTACTGAAGGTGAGAACCCTAATATAAGACGTTCCCAGGTCCTAAGGGCTATGGGAGGAAGCATCAGGTAGGACAAAGGACTGGGGAGTGCTGGGCTGGGGCAGAGGCCACTGAATCAGATGGTCAGGGTAGGCCTTGCGGAGCAGGCGAAGTGTTATTTTGCCAATAGAGCATTGCCTACGTTCCAGCCCCTCTGCAGAAGTGCACACACAGCCCTGGAGAGGGGCAGGGCATGGTTTCAGGAAGAGTGTGCTCAAGCTGCGGCGTGTACCAAGTCCTCATTGAACTTTACCTCAGGGCAGCTGCGTGTCGTCCTTACTAATACACCGCAGTGCCGCCTGTGTGTGATGGACCCAGATGCAGTCGTCACTTCCAGGTCGGGGCTGGCCTGTCCACTTTCTGGCTTGGATTTGGACACCCGCTTGCAGCCAGCCCTGCGTCCAGACAGCGCCGTGCCCCCCTCGCAGCGACCTGGGACCCTGGGAAGTAGAAACCATCTGCGGTTCACAGAGCCGTGGCTGAGAGGTTGATGGCGCTGCAGGACTGGAGCATGCGTGTCTGCTGCCCCGAGGGGGGAAGAAAGAGCGGCCATGATAAGCCCACAGCACTCAGAGAACCACGCGGGGCTGAGCCAGGTGGCCTTCCACAAAGTGGGCGGCCCTGCCCCTTGTCCCAAGGTTCCCTGGTCCCGAGACACAGGCCCGTCTGGCCTCGTCAGCAGAGGTGCAGGTGGAGTAGACAGGCCCTGCCCGCTGACTTAGCAGCGGGTTGGAAAGTGGGTGAGGCAGAGCTTTGCGGGGGCAGGGCGGGGGGCGGGGAACACCCTCCCTCGGGCTCTTGGGGACAGCTGTGCTCAGGAAGGGTGTGGGCCCAGTGGGAGGAAGCAAGGACAACCACAGGGAACGTACGGTTTCATCAGAATGTGTTCTTGGGAGAGGTTCTAGGCGGGATGGACTTATCAGCCCTGGTGCAGGAGAAGGAAGGGATGCATTTGGGGATCTCAGTGGGGCGTTTCAGGAGAGGATGGTGGGGACTGGGCCGTCAAGGGCATGTGCACTGTTGACAGGAAAAGGAAGCGCCTAGCAGGCAGAGGGTATGGCTGAGGCAGAGGTCAAGAGGCGGGAAGATGAGTCTCTCTCATATATATTCAACACCTGGAGCCAAAGCTCCCAGGGTGTGTGTGTGTGTGTGTGTGTGTGTGTGTGTGTGCGTGCGCGCGCGCGCGTGTAGGGGGCCAGGGGTTGGGGAAATGTCAAGGCTGGTGAGGGAACCAGTAAGCTGCCTGCTTCACCTCCGCCCCAAACCTGCCCAGAATTTGCCTCAGGGAAAACGAAAGGGGAAGGCTGGACCCAGGCACAAGGCTGGCCATAGACTTCTGAACTCTAGCCCTGACCTATAACAGGAAAAGGAGACCCATTTTGGGTGGTGGTGGGGCAGAAGAGTAGGGGAACATGGACTAGGGATTTTTAAAACAATGTGGTGAGTCTAGGAAGCACAGAGGACTAGGAGGACCCTTGGAAGCATCTAATGCAGCCTGGAAAAATCTGGGAGGGCTTCCTGGAGGAGGTGATGCCTAGAGAAGCAGAGTTGCACATAGACAGAGTTGTTCTATCGTGGTAAAGTACCCAAGACATGGGTCATGAAAGAGTTTCCCCAACATGATATTAACACAGGTGAAGGTTGGGAGGGGTGAGGGACCAGGCTCCGGAGAAGCTGAGACTAATTCATGGGTAGTAGTCTGGGGCGGGGGTGTCAGCTGGGGCCAGATGATGCCAGGATGTGAGGAGCAGGGACATGGGGTTTGGACTGATGTGGGAAGAAGGCAAAAGTCAAGGCTTTAGCCCCGAGACCAAGGCCACTCCATGATTTCTGTGCTCTCCAAAGACGGGAGTTGTGCTGTTCCCCCGGGAACCCAGGTCAGCACAAAGACAATGCTACTTCTGGGCTGTTGCTGTGGATTTTGGCTTTGCTTTTTTATTACGAAGTACATTATGCCTGCAGGAAGGTATGCAGAGAAAAAGCTCTGGGGTGATTGGTGTATCTGGACGCTTTATACAAATTGCACCACGTGATCCATGTCCTTCCACAATTTGTTTGTGTTCCCACCACAAAAGTTGCAAGATATGTCTAGTCAACATCCATTCCTCATTAGAGCAAAGGTGAACACAAGAACACACATGCTTAGTAAACAAAACCCAGGATAAAACTTCCTTAATTTGATAAGTGGTCAATTCCAGGAACCCACAGAAATGTCTCACCTACTAGTGAATTTCTGAGAACCAGTTTTGGTAAAAGTAAGAACGAAATGAAGATGCCCGTCCCTGCTGTTTTGCCAATGCAATAAGAAAATAAAGAGAAAAATAAGACCTACGAATACTGGAAAGGAAGCGTCAAAGCTGACGGTGTTTTGAAGCTGTGATCGCCCCTCTTAGAAAGCCCTAGCGAATCAACTTTTGGACTCGTTGAGGGATGCAGCAAGGTCAGCTCTCCATAAGCACCTGGAAGTGAGAGAAGCAACACATCCTCTTCCCAACAGGAGGAAGCCTTAGAGAACTGAAGAGTAATTGTGACGAGAGCACAGGTAAAACTGTTCACCTCCACTGAGATCCGAACAGATCAGGACACAGCACGGGTTCCCCAGAAGGACACTCGGGGTTTTAAAGAGTTTCATTCTTCCTGAGTTAATTTATAAAGTCAACGCCATCCCAATAAAAATCCGAAGTAGATTTTTGATGGAGTTGTTTCATCATGCTCAAATGCACAAGACAGAAAACTTGCCATCTTAATCCCCTTTAAGTATATTTTGTTGATTACGCTGTTACAGTTGTCCCACTTTCTCCCCCTTGCCCCTCTCCGCCCAGTACTCCCTTCCATCCTGTCCCTGGGTCCCGTGTGTATGTTCTTTGGCTTCTCCATTTCTACGCTGTTCTTAACCTCCCCCCACCCCCCCCCCACCCCTGGCTGAGTCTACCCTGTACCTAACAATCATGCTTCTTAATCCCTGTGCCTCCCCCCGCCCCGCCCCCCGCATTCTCCTCCTTCCCCTCCCAGCTGATAACCCTCCATGTGATCTCCATATCTATGGTTCTGTTCCTCTTCTGGTTGTTTGCTCAGTTTGTTTTTGTTTTTTGTGCTTTTAGATTCAGTTGTTGATAGTTGTGAATTTGTTGCCTTTTTAATGTTCATGGTTTTGATCTTCTTTTTCTTAAATAAGTCCCTTTAACATTTCATGTATAGTAATGGCTTGGTGGTGATGCAATCCTTTAGTTTTACCTTGTCTGGGAAGCACTTTGTCTGCCCTTCCATTCTAAGTGAAAGCTTTGCTGGATAGAGTAATCTAGGTTGTAGGCCCTTGCTTTTTGTCACTTTGAATACTTCTTTGCAGCCCCTTCTTGCCTGCAAGGTTTCTTTTGAGAGATCAGCTGACAGTCTTATGGGAACTCCTTTGTAGGTAACTCTCTGCTTTTCTCTTGCTGCCTTTAAGATTCTCTTTTGCCCTGGCTGGTGTGGGTCAGTGGTTTGAGTGCTGGCCTATGAACCAAAGGGTCACTGGTTGGATTCCCAGTCAGAGCATATGCCTGGATATCTGGCCAGGTCCTCAGTGATGTCAAGGTAGAGTTGGAAATTTTTAGTCTCAGGTAAAAGTTATAAGCCTAATAAGTAATGTATATATTAAATATATATATACATATATACATGTATATATACATCCTGGCTCCTGGGATAACAGCTGACCTCTTAGAGCACCGCTAAAGATTACCACCTGGGGACAACAGGAGGCATCCAGGCCTTTGTGTTCCAGGGAGAGAGAGATGACCACCCACCCCTGGGAACAGCTAACTGCCCAAGGCAGGAATGTTGCAGCTTCTTTCACCTAATGCTCCCTGAATCTCAGAGCCCTCACCGCACCCTGTTTATTTCCTGGTATAAAAATGTTGGCCTAGAAAGAAAAGACAAGAACTCTGGTGTCTTTTCCGGTTCACCATGAGGTCCTCTCATCTTTTGGAATTTGCTAGAATGGCTCACAGAACTCAGAAAAACACACTGCCAACACATGTTGGTTGCATGAATGATGCACCTGAGGGCCTGCCAAGTGGAAGGCATGCAGAGGGCAAGGCACAGGAGAGGAGGGGACACACGCAGCTGCTGTGCCCTCTTTAAGGGTGTCAGCCCCCAGCACCTTGACGAGCTCACCCCCCCCACCCCAGTCTCCTTCTTGATGAGTCTTATAGCACTCAATGTGGACCTTCACCTCCTCAAGTTGGTAGCTGGGGCTGGAGGTTTCAGTCCTCTAATAGCACATCTGGTCTTTTTGCTGCCTCGCTGGATCCTCAGGCTCCCTAGGGGTCCCCTCTTAAGTCACCTCATTAGCATAAACTCAAGCATGGTCCAAGGGGTTTGTTAGGAATAACAAAATACACCCCTCTCACTCAGCAAGTTCCAAGGGTTTTAGGAGTCCTGTGCCAGGAACCTGGGACAAAGACTAAATCTCTTTGTTGTTGTTGTTTTAAATGGATTTCTTTCTTTTTCTTTTTTAAAAAAAGTGTATTCATTTTTAGAGAGGGGGGAAAGGAGGGAGAAAAAAGGAGGGAAACATTAGTGCGTGGTTACCTCTTGAGCACCCCACACCAGGGACCTGGCCTGCAACCCAGCAACCCAGGCATGTGCCCTGACTGGGAATCAAACCAGCCACCCTTTGGTTCACAGGTGGGCACTCAATCCATTGAGCCACACCAGCCAGGGCCTCTTGGTTGTTGCACTACCGGAAGGAAGCAGGAATGGGCAGAAGAAGTGAAGCTGTACAGGACTGTCAGCAGCCTCAACTGACTCCACTGGCAGCTCTGAAAACAGAATCATCCCCAGGTTCGACTGACACGGTCAGACCTTTATCCACC